CAAAATCCAGAAAAAAACAGCTCGTTTTTTCAGTTTTTTAATCGAGACCCTTGGAAATAATGGTCAGATCTTGGAATGTCATACCTCGTTGAATTCGTTACAAAATTTCCAATCGGATGGTATACTCAGATAAAAACTTTTATTTTTGGCCATATTTGGAAAAAAATCAAGTGTTACCCCTTATCAAAAATGCGAAAATCGGTCAAAAAATTAAATTTACTAAAACCTCCTGGAATCGATTGTGTAGGTTGTCAGCAACACAAAACAGTCATTCTTTTCACTGTGGGCCTTATTTTGGCAAAGGTACAACAAAAAAACCCTTCAAAAAATGTGTTTTAAATACATGTTTTTGATGGCCAAAATCCAGAAAAAAACAGCTCGTTTTTTCAGTTTTTTAATCGAGACCCTTGGAAATAATGGTCAGATCTTGGAATGTCATACCTCGTTGAATTCGTTACAAAATTTCCAATCGGATGGTATACTCAGATAAAAACTTTTATTTTTGGCCATATTTGGAAAAAAATCAAGTGTTACCCCTTATCAAAAATGCGAAAATCGGTCAAAAAATTAAATTTACTAAAACCTCCTGGGATCGATTGTGTAGGTTGTCAGCTACCCAGAACCGTCATTCTTTTCGCTGGGCGTCTTATTTTGGCAAAGCTACAAAAAAAACCCCTAAAAATGTGTTTTAAATACATGTTTTTGATGGCCAAAATCCAGAAAAAAACAGCTCGTTTTTTCAGTTTTTTAATCGAGACCCTTGGAAATAATGGTCAGATCTTGGAATGTCATACCTCGTTGAATTCGTTACAAAATTTCCAATCGGATGGTATACTCAGATAAAAACTTTTATTTTTGGCCATATTTGGAAAAAAATCAAGTGTTACCCCTTATCAAAAATGCGAAAATCGGTCAAAAAATTAAATTTACTAAAACCTCCTGGAATCGATTGTGTAGGTTGTCAGCAACACAAAACAGTCATTCTTTTCACTGTGGGCCTTATTTTGGCAAAGGTACAACAAAAAAACCCTTCAAAAAATGTGTTTTAAATACATGTTTTTGATGGCCAAAATCCAGAAAAAAACAGCTCGTTTTTTCAGTTTTTTAATCGAGACCCTTGGAAATAATGGTCAGATCTTGGAATGTCATACCTCGTTGAATTCGTTACAAAATTTCCAATCGGATGGTATACTCAGATAAAAACTTTTATTTTTGGCCATATTTGGAAAAAAATCAAGTGTTACCCCTTATCAAAAATGCGAAAATCGGTCAAAAAATTAAATTTACTAAAACCTCCTGGGATCGATTGTGTAGGTTGTCAGCTACCCAGAACCGTCATTCTTTTCGCTGGGCGTCTTATTTTGGCAAAGCTACAAAAAAAACCCCTAAAAAATGTGTTTTAAATACATGTTTTTGATGGCCAAAATCCAGAAAAAAACAGCTCGTTTTTTCAGTTTTTTAATCGAGACCCTTGGAAATAATGGTCAGATCTTGGAATGTCATACCTCGTTGAATTCGTTACAAAATTTCCAATCGGATGGTATACTCAGATAAAAACTTTTATTTTTGGCCATATTTGGAAAAAAATCAAGTGTTACCCCTTATCAAAAATGCGAAAATCGGTCAAAAAATGAAATTTACTAAAACCTCCTGGAATCGATTGTGTAGGTTGTTAGCTAGCCAGAACCGTCATTCTTTTCGCTGTGCGTGTTATTTTGTCAAAGCTACAACAAAAAACCCCTAAAAAATGTGTTTAAATACATGTTTTTGATGGCCAAAATCCAGAAAAAAACAGCTCGTTTTTTCAGTTTTTTAATCGAGACCCTTGGAAATAATGGTCAGATCTTGGAATGTCATACCTCGTTGAATTCGTTACAAAATTTCCAATCGGATGGTATACTCAGATAAAAACTTTTATTTTTGGCCATATTTGGAAAAAAATCAAGTGTTACCCCTTATCAAAAATGCGAAAATCGGTCAAAAAATTAAATTTACTAAAACCTCCTGGAATCGATTGTGTAGGTTGTCAGCAACACAAAACAGTCATTCTTTTCACTGTGGGCCTTATTTTGGCAAAGGTACAACAAAAAAACCCTTCAAAAAATGTGTTTTAAATACATGTTTTTGATGGCCAAAATCCAGAAAAAAACAGCTCGTTTTTTCAGTTTTTTAATCGAGACCCTTGGAAATAATGGTCAGATCTTGGAATGTCATACCTCGTTGAATTCGTTACAAAATTTCCAATCGGATGGTATACTCAGATAAAAACTTTTATTTTTGGCCATATTTGTAAAAAAATCAAGTGTTACCCCTTATCAAAAATGCGAAAATCGGTCAAAAAATTAAATTTACTAAAACCTCCTGGGATCGATTGTGTAGGTTGTCAGCTACCCAGAACCGTCATTCTTTTCGCTGGGCGTCTTATTTTGGCAAAGCTACAAAAAAACCCTAAAAAATGTGTTTAAATACATGTTTTTGATGGCCAAAATCCAGAAAAAAACAGCTCGTTTTTTCAGTTTCTTAATCAAAACCCTTGGAAATAATGGTCAGATCTTGGAATGTCATACCTCGTTGAATTCGTTACAAAATTTCCAATCGGATGGTATACTCAGATAAAAACTTTTATTTTTGGCCATATTTGGAAAAAAATCAAGTGTTACCCCTTATCAAAAATGCGAAAATCGGTCAAAAAATGAAATTTACTAAAACCTCCTGGAATCGATTGTGTAGGTTGTTAGCTAGCCAGAACCGTCATTCTTTTCGCTGTGCGTCTTATTTTGTCAAAGCTACAACAAAAAACCCCTAAAAAATGTGTTTAAATACATGTTTTTGATGGCCAAAATCCAGAAAAAAACAGCTCGTTTTTTCAGTTTCTTAATCAAAACCCTTGGAAATAATGGTCAGGTCTTGGAATGTCATACCTCGTTGAATTCGTTACAAAATTTCCTATCGAATGGTATACTCAGATCAAAAAGTTTATTTTTGGCCATATTTGGCAAAAAATCAAGTGTTACCCCTTATCAAAAATGCGAAAATCGGTCAAAAAATGAAATTTACTAAAACCTCCTGGAATCGATTGTGTAGGTTGTCAGCTACCCAGAACAGTCATTCTTTTCGCTGTGCGTCTTATTTTGGCAAAGCTACAACAAAAAAACCGTAAAAAAAATGTGTTTTAAATATGTGTTTTTAGTTTTCAAAACTCTGCACATTGGTCAATTTAACACAATTTGTATAATAAGTTGTTGAAGTACCGAAAATGAAATCTGCCACCTAAAAGCCCTTATCCCAATTAAAACAAAATTATATTTTATATATATACAAATAATCCTTTTTATTTAAAATCATCCATATAATAAGAAATAGTAATGGTTTAACATGTGTTTATATCTTAAATACTTAAGATAATCGTATGCTAGCTATGTACTTAAACAAGAAATACTCTTTTCTATTAGAAACTAGCTTAATTTACTATTAGGTATGTATTTTAGTTTTAGTAATAAGGTAAAGGAGATATGAAATTTATTTGTGGTTAAATGTAAATGAGCGCCTTCGTTGGTGAGATGTAAAACAAGGAGACGACGGCTTTGAAGTCCTTGATAATCCTGAAGACGACACTGCCACCCGGCGAAATTATCCATGGGGACTTCCTTGCCAATGCTGATCCTGATCTTCCAGCCGCATTCCTGTGTATTTGTTTCTGATTGATTCTGAAATTATAAATTTCAAATACAGATTTTTATGACAACTAATAAAGCATATTTTTTATTGTGGGTGGGACCTTCCTTCATTTATAGATCTTTCATCTTTTATTTATAGTTCCTTTAACTATAATCATCTTAAAACTGTAATAGCTTTCTAAATGTATAAGGCAATTATCCCTTTGATGTTGACTGTGCTCTTAAATTTATCATTGACAAAGTCCGAGCAGAAAAACAACCTAAATCCAGAAAAAAACAGCTTGATTTTTCAGTTTTTTAATCAAAACCCTCGGAAATAATGGTCAGATCTTGGAATGTCATACCTCGTTGAATTCGTTACAAAATTTCCTATCGAATGGTATACTCAGATCAAAAAGTTTATTTTTGGCCATATTTGGCAAAAAATCAAGTGTTACCCCTTATCAAAAATGCGAAAATCGGTCAAAAAATGAAATTTACTAAAACCTCATAGAATCGATTGTGTAGGTTGTCAGCTGCACAAAACAGTCATTCTTTTGGCTGTGCGGCTTATTTTACCAAAATTACAACAAAAAACGCTTTAAAATGTGTCTTAAATATATTTTCTTGATGGCAAACATCCGGAAAAATGCAACTCGAATTTGCGAATAAAATTTCCATTCGATTGGCATTCCTAGCTGAATATTTTTAATTTTCCGAAAAAACACGATGTACATTTTTCGGTTTATAAGGAATTTTTCTTAATAAAACCATTAATATTAATTTTGATTCTAGATATTGGATACTTAAACAACATGAATGAGGAATGGATTTCACTGAAGAACCCATTGATCTTGGCTGAAAACATAGCTTCCTAAATGACAATTTATAATTGCTCTACCTAATAAATATATTTGTCTACACAAATGTAATTTTTATCGCCTTAAGAAATGTAAGCGGATTTTAAATAAACTAAAATTTTTTCTTGAAAAAAATGTTGCATACTTTTGGGCATTCGATCATCATACTTTGGCATTTACATTTTTTGTTGCGTGCATTTGGGCGCTGGTTGTAATTCGAATTGCGCAGCCACCTGCTGGTAGTTTCTGTTCGCCTGGTGTATGAAGTCAGAAAATTTGTCAAAAATCTGGCGGACTGTTGCCAACAGTTTGAGAAGCACTGTACTTTATAAAGGTTGTCAGTTCGTACAGGTTGAGAGTCATTTGACTTTGCAAAAATGGTCGCCACAGTTTGAGAACCATTGGATTTTGCAAGATTGGTGAACCACCGTTTGAGAAGCACTGAAAAACCTTTTGTGTTTTATGTTTAATTTAATTTATTTTTAATTTTATTTCTTAGGGTTATGAAAAAAATTCACTTACAAGAAAATACATTAATGGCTAGCTGGGACTTGTACAACTAAAGGTGATTCGCTTGATTAGTTAACTGGTGAGATTGCGAGATGCACTTATTGCTAATACATTTTACAAATATAACGTATACTCCAAGGACTTAAAGTACTTAAATGCGAGTGTGTCAAAAAAAAGAAAGTTGAGCCCCCTAAACTATTCACAGATAAGCTGACCCAAAAAGCAGGATGTAGGATTCGGATTCGAACTCGGATCTTCGCGTTCAACGCATCAAGAGAGGAATGGACACTTAGGCGGTGGTTGCTTTGGCGGAGGTGAATGCGGCCAGTTGGGCCTTCAGGGCATCGATTTGGCACAACAGCTCGATGTTCTGGCGCTCCAGATAGGCAGCCCTGATGGCGATCTCATCCTCCTTGATGCGGCGACGATCGCGGGACTTCTTGGCGGCGGCATTGTTCTTGCGGCGTCTCTCGTAGTAGGCGGCATCCTTCACCTGGCTGCCCGAATTGATTCCAGCATTTACCCCAGTGGTGTTGGCCGAACTGATGGAGTTGCCGGTGGATGACTTGCCCTCGAAGTTGCCCGCCTGGGAATCGCAGTCGCTGGACTCCTCCGCCGCAGCACGATCCTCGCTTTCGCTGTTGTTGTTCGAGGAGCTGCCTTCGTTAACGGATCCACTTCGCGAGTTGGTCCTGCGCATCTTGGGGTTGGTCACGGTGCGGGATCCTCCATTCGAGCTGCGGATCTGCTCGAGCACCCTCTTGCGGTACTCTGTATAGCGCTCCACTCGCGGATTGTCCAGCAGAACATCGGTGGCTGCGAAATTGGCTGCGATGACCAAGGGATCGCGGGGAAAGGCCTTGAAGGGGCGGGTGTTCTTGCTGGCCTCCCCGCTGCTGGAGGTGGTGGGCGTGGTGGCCTCAACGGCCGGCGACTGGGGATTCTCCAGGACGTCTATCTGCATGGTGCTGGCGTTGCTGGCGGGCCTTGGTGAGTTGGTCGAAGAAGCAGCAGCTGCTGCGGCGGCTGCAGCAGAGGCGGCAGCAAAAGTCTGCAGCAGACTGGCGGTGGGCGTGACCTTGGGCGGTGCAGCAGTGGGAGTGACTTGCTCCTGCTTGATGTTGCTGTAGTAGAAAGCGGGATACAGGGAGGCCAATTGTTGCTGCTGCTGCTGTTGTTGCTGCTGCTGTTGCTGCTGCTGTTGCTGCTGCATCTGGGCGGCATATAGAAGATTGCTGGTGGGCGAGGCCGAGGGGGAACCACTGCCATAGCTGTAGCTGGTCTGGTAGGGCGAAGGCGTCTTCCTGGGTGTTTCCACACTGTCGCAACGGCGGGAGAGATCCAGGACCTCCGCAGAGGAAGCCTGCTGCTGATGTTGCTGATGCTGATGTTGCTGTTGCTGCTGCTGTTGCTGCTGTTGCTGCTGGCTGAGGGCAGCGCCCAGCAACTGTTGCTGGTAGGCATAGGCGGCATACAGATCCATTTTGGGCAGGCCCAAGGATCCCTGAACCGGCAATTGGCTGTGCGGCAAGTGGTGGAGGGATTGCTGCTGGTGGTGCGTCTGGTGGTGCTGGTACTGGTGGTGGTGCATCAAGGGCTTGCGATCTGAAGAGATTGAGGGAGAGAGGGTATTCGTTAGTTAACAGATCAAAGAGAATCGGGGGCGTGGCTAACTTACCGGTCTTGAGATCGAAGAACTGCCCGGACATGAGTTTCTCGTGCATTAGCATGGTGTTTGAGGTGTATGGTTTTCGGGTTGTAATCCAACTGAGTGACGGCTATATAGACTGATGATCTAGCTCTGCTGTTTCTATATCTTCACGCTGACGATGTCGAACGCAAACTGATTTCCTCTTGCCGGAACCCCCTGAATTTATACCCGAAGTCCGGAGGCTGCGCCGACGCTTCATTCACCATGGAAATGGCGGACACGAGCGGCCAGCCGAAGCGGTACGAAGCAGGTAGGCGGTACAAAGGGCAAAGGGGTGATTCTATCGCTGTCCCGCTCCCCCGCTGTTGCCCTCTCTGTCTCGCCGCCTTTCAAAGGGTTTTACGAGGGTGCGGCTGCCCTTTCCTCCTTTGGTTTTCGCATTTTTCGCAAAAATCGTAGGTCTTTGTGTCATTGTTACTTCGCCATTTAGCGTAATTTAACTAAAAATAAAAAGAGTTTTTGAACTTTTTTTTACTTCAACAGTTCCCGCGAAAGGATATGTTTTTTTCGGGTCTATTATGATGCTCAATGAGGAAAAAACAGGGAAATTCGTACGACCTATTAAGTGATTTACATTTGGTTTTCAAAGAATCGGTTTGTACACTTTTACTTTAGAGACCAACCATATTTTATATCAACCTAGCCTTTTCTATCTCTAGTTATAGTAATAGAAGGAATTAATTATAAAAATAAATCTATAACTTTTGGTGATTTACTTTTATATACTTCAGAAATGTACGTTATTCTGTTATTAAGTACGTATTTAAAAGAAACGGAGTTTGAAAAGTACCACAAATAGTAATAGTAACTCCAAAGCAACACAAATTGTAATTTATTTAAGATATTAAAAAGATAAAATGCATAGTCTTTATCGAACCTGTGCCTTAAACATAAGTTTACTTTGTAACTTCGTGTAAGTAAATAAATAAAATAGTCAACAAATTAAGCAAAATGCTGAAAAGCATGCCAAAATAAAAACAAGTTAAAATTGATTTTTGCTTTGTGTTTAAGGTGTTCTTTAAGTAAAGTATGTTAGAAACACTATACTAGCCTAGTTCTGCATTTAAATGAATATAACTCACCACTAATCCGAAGTTCCTTGAATATTAAAGCCTGGTGTATTAATTAGGCCCGAAATCATAGTTTTCTGGCCAGAAAGAGAGGCATCTGGCTGAGAAGAAAAAGAGACGGCACCCGGTTTGTTGATGATGGATGCACAATGTTCAAGGGTTGCGAATGCTAAATCCGTTTGTTTTGCGCTTTTGTCCCGAAATCCTTTTGCTGACCAGCCCATCCAGGATCTGTGTATCTGGCGATGGCGATGGCGAATTCGGTGGATTGTGCGTGACAAATTATGGAAATTAGGCCGGGTTTCTGTTTCTGCAGTTTCTCAGCTCTTTTCCGCTGGCGTAATTCGCATCCTTTCCGCACTTCGCTAATGGAGAATTGGGTTCCCGGAATCCTGGCAAGGACACTCGCCAGTCTGGCCATTTGATTCATGACGCCGCCAACTCGGGGACCGAGAACTGAGGATCGAGCATCGAGGATCATTGCGACAAGTGTCCGTGATGTTGACTGTTTCGTGTTTGTCCTCCTCCCTAAACATCCCCGATGCATTATCCTTTATCCTTTTGGCTTCCGCTGCGGCGTGGGATCCTCAACAACTTGTTTAACTTTGCTTAACTGTTTAGCTGTTTAACTGTTTGTCCTAACGGTCGCCGCCTCGATGGCCAACGGAAGTGGCTTACGGCGCAGAGTTGGCTTTATCATTTATGGGAAAGGAGTCGGCACGATACTTACTTTTCGATTTTCAGGAGGTTCAGATAGGGCCAATTGTAACAGATTTGAATTGAATTTTACTAGCATTGCGAGAGTTCTTGAGACAGTTCTTTTCTTGGCTATGTCTACTATATATATTAACTTTGCTTGTTTTAAACGATGTTTGTCTAGGGCTAAGATCGGAATCACTCCCAAATGCATGAGGACTTACCTTTAATATTGCCAAGTTTCAAGATGAAATAACCCATCTTATGAGATACACATACATCTATATTCTTTTCATAATTGGTAGAAAATGTCCCAGAATAAATCACATGTATTTATCGGGAGCACCATACATTTGTAAAGCAGTCATCATTGAAATTCATTCTGCCTTTCACCAGATTCCTACATCCACCTCGACCAAATTTCATTCATTCACTTTTTACAGCTCTCCATTCAGCCGGAGATTGCAAATAAAAAGAGGGATCGATCCAGTAATCAGTAAAAAACCGCGAACTTATCCGCTAATCCGTGCGCTAATCCAACCGTAAAAATGGTGGATTAAACTAAAACTCGGCCTCGTCCTTGTCCCCGTCCTCGTCATTGAGTCGATCGTTTACCTGCGGCTCCTGGGCTCGCAGATCGCAGATCCTGGCCATATAACCCGGCCCAACCGAGCCGATCAATCCCGAACATATGCCATAAAAAGTCGCGGCCGGAGTGGAAGCCAAAGAGTTGGCCAAATTCGCTGTAAAAACCAGATTCAGCGAAACAGAAAAAAAACGTAAAAAACGGGTGGCCATAAAACCATATATTCATATTCTCCGACGGCTGTTCCTTCGTCATAATGAGCTCCGAACCAAAGATGCAATATTTGTGCAATCCTTTGAGTGGCGACCTTGAGCGCGTTTTTTACGGAATCTTCTACCTGATTCCCGAACGGGTTGCCCACCCACCGTAAAGAGTACTGGCCATTGCCTAAAAAACATCGATGGTTTTATTGCATAATGGAGGCTTCGTGCGAAAAGGTCTCATTCCGAACCCGAATCCGGGATACCGCTGCCGTTTTTTAAGGGGTCATAAACTGAAGTCTCGGACTTCGGCGGCCGTCCCTAAAAAAGGGTTCCATCCTCCGTCCATTGTGACTGCGATTTTTATACTGCCTCGCTGCTAGGTGACACAAAGAAAATCAGCGACTAATTGACTGAAAGGGGTTTCGCCTTAGCCTTATATGACCCGTCCAAAAAAAGGGTGAGAGCGGACAGTGGTTTGGATTTGAATTTGGACTTGGACTCGGATTCGGGGAATCGCCGTTAACTCCTTTCGCGGTCCTTTGTCTTAATGGGTTAGGAGTCGCATATTGGAATCCATCATTTCAAACGGCCATGTGTCGTAAAACAAAGTTGAAGACAACTTATCGAATATTAGGCGTGCCATTTTGTTTCCTCGAAATTGTATCCTCGTTTTTCACATGGATGTTTGCTTTTTAACTCTAGTCAAATGATTCTACTACAATTTACAGCAGTTCTTTTTTATAGATGGCCAGTTTAATAATATGTTGGCTATATGTTGACTCACCAAAGAACATATCTTATATATCATAAAATTAAAGAAGGAAATACTGCCCCTTTTCGATACTATATTATGGGATATTAAATGACGTTATTAATTGTAATTGCTTAAGAAAAGAAGTTGTCTGCAGGACTATTGAAGTAAATAAATCTACTCGAAAGACTGCTCTGCCATCACAATTGATGAAATGAGATTACTTTTGAATGTATGATTAGTTTGGCCGTCATTCAGTCGGTTTTCGGCCACGATGGCCGCCTAAGCCCATCAGTAGAGGCTATATCCCTATATCCTGCGATGCTAATGAGGAAGTAAGTAGTCGGCGAGGAAGTGAACGGGGATTACACGTGCTCCTCGGCCGCACAAAGGACCCTCTCTTTCCGCTGGAGAGTGTTTGGGCTGCACTCAGTGCAAAAGACTAACCGGGACCGATCCTTCGAGAATAGAGGACCGGGGATCACTTGTTTGTTTTCCTTGGCATATGCAAAGTGCACACTTGCGCAGGATAATAGGAACAGGTATTGCTCGGAGGATTTACTCTGGCCACTTCCGCAAACGGAAGTGCACGGCAAAAAGAACCATCGATTACCGGCTACCGACTACCGACTGCGGACTAAAAAGACACAAGTTAAGTACTCAAAGGGAACCCACAATGGACGTAGCTTCCGTCGTCAAATCCTTTGGCTAATTGTTATCCTATGGCTCCTAATCCCACATCCAGCACATCCAGGGCTGCTCAATTATGGCATCTCTTTAATTGGGAAACGGAGACGTCGAGCCGCTCCAAATAGATTCCTTGTCCTTCATTCATGGCTGAGCATCAAGGCGTAAAGATCTTGGCCGAATCTCAAGACCGGAACCCGGAGTCCAAGATCCCGACCAGTATTGCATTACTATGCCAATTAGTGCGGTTTTGATTACCCAAATGACATTTGCCCACAGACTACAAGTCCGCTTATCTGCCGAACCCCATCTTCTACAATAAAGATGGGCGACAGCAAGTCTATCGCATTACTGGACTATCTAAAGTTTGCCCAGGCCAAACATGCCGACTCAATGAACTTTGAGTATTGAAATTCGGCTGTTTAAATATTTAAAACTGGACTATCAAACATTGTTTGCGGGGCGTGATAAGTTCAAGCCTCTGACTCAAGATTGGGGTGATCGATCGATCGATTGTTCGACGGGGAGACCACCCCACACAACAATCGAATAATGCTCGTCAAATCGCCGCACAAAGAGCTCAATGGGCCGAGTGCTATTTAAATGGGCAAAACTAACTTGCTACTTCCTTACGCCATCATTGTAACTGTTGTCCTGTTGTCAGGACCCCAGGAAGATGGCCAGGATGCGGGGATGCGGGGATGCGAGGGGTGTGTCCGTGTCAACGCCCATCGCCATCGGAAAATGTGAAAATGCTCGGGTTGGGAATATACTCGCACACACAAGACGGACCAAAGAAAGCAAACCCAAAGAAAGCAACATTTCACGGCTGATTTCAGTGTGGGAGATCACTAGTTACACTGCGAGAAGTTAGACAAAAGAATATCCAACTTCATATGATACAATTTTTACTTCTTCTTTTCGGTAAATTGCAGTTTGGAAACCTTTTCCGTCTTTGACTTAAGTCACTTAAAGTTCAACATTAAATAACTCATAATAAAGTTTGCATAAAATAATATTTTTGCTAATTTTCATGATGAAAATATCAAGAATTGGTAAATGTAAATAGAAATCAGTTGGGCATTCCCAATTTACTATACAAAATTAGACGAAAAGTGAATAAGATCAGTATTTCTTTTCTAAAATGAAGGTACAATTATCTACAAAATTTTCCACAGTGCACAACTTTGCTGCTGTGAGCCTCGATTGCAGGGTATTCGCCACTGATGGAATATTCATTTTGCATGCATCATTCGTTTTGATGAACTGTCAACGTTTAGGCCATTGTTCCGTATCTGAGATCCGCTTTCCCTGTATCTATTTATTTGTGTGTGAACCGCTTGCGGTACAGTTATGTGCGGAGAATGTGAAACATTTCTAATAACTCGACCCTTATTCCCAATAATCCCCCTTCATTGCTCACTTAATTTTATGCGTTTTACTGTTGATTAGCTGCCACATCTTCCATTGTCCATTATTGTCGGCGAACGGGGACCGTTAGGGGTTTTGCCACTAGCTGGAGTCAATCAAAGTGCCGTGGCGTAGGGCCCTCATAAAAAGAGTTGCGATCTCTCTCCGTTCCGAGATCCCACTCAATCTATCAAGCGGCCCTCGAAATGTTCACACCTTTTTGCGGGATTGTCCTTTTTGTCCCATTGTCTGGTTCCGGGGCAAAGCCGCCTACGAAACCCCGTTAGAACGGCTACTGTTAGCCCCCTTCCTCTCCAGAATCAGATCCTGATCCTCGATCCCGAGATCCCAGATCATATTGTTGGACCAGGACAATTGCTGTCAAAATGGCATTGCAGCGGTTTGCGGATTTGGCCGTCCTGGTAATTGTGTCAATTGTCAGTTCGCACCATCTCTTAACTCCCAATATATCCCAAGTATATTCCAGCGGATGCTGCCCAGATACAGATACAGATGCAGATTCAGATGCAGATACAAACGAAATCGGACGAAAAACGGGAAATCCTGGAACGGAACGGAACTGAGCAGTCCTAAGCCTCATTCCGCCTAACTCTTTCATGGAGTGACTCCTGGCCAACTCGTAATATGAGCATTTAACCCTGTAAAGTCTTCGTCCCGGCCACGCCCATTGTATCCGAGTTCCTTTAGCTCCTTTAGTTCCCTTAGTTCCGTTCTGACCTCTCCTCTTCTCGAGGGCCACCTTTCACATTTTGCCTTTTGCCTCGAGTTTTTTCACATGAAACTAAAAACGAGTGGAATCCAAGAGATTAAACGGTCTTTAAGCGGTTTAAGCCCTTTGTGCTCGCAGTTTCGAAGGTGGCAAAATGTGCCATTGTCCCCGAGTTCTGGCAAAATTATGGACTAGCATATCATTTCATAATTTCCATTTTCATCTTCAAAAATGCATATTTTTTTCCTGGCTTCCCGGAAGGAAAACACAAATATTTTTGGAAGCTCAGTGGGCCGGAGGATTGCGCTCCGAGTGATCCGACAGGTGACCAGGTACAGCTCTCCCCTTCCCGATCCTCACGATCTTCCCGATCTTGCAGACTAATCCTGACTATCTGGCTGCCTCAAGTTAATCTCGCATAATATTGCGTGTTCCGCACCGCGTAATCCCCCGACAACAAGTGCCCAGATCCTGCAAGATCTCCACTTCTAAGCCGGGAATGGATTCTAGATGACTTGACTAACTGTCGAGTTGAGCTCAACGGACAGATTACTCAGTGAAATCAAGGTCGAAACTGTGCAGTCCTGGGCAACTTTTACGGACTAATCAAAAAGGTAAAATAGTTTCACTAAGAACTACATACAAGAGTTAAAACTTTTAGTTCAGCCACCATATATTTTTAGAACTACTTAACTGATAGAAGTGGTTGAATTTTATATATCTTTATTTGAAGATATGTTAACTATAATGTATGATGTACATTTATGCATTATTTTATACCTCTTTAAAAAGATTGTTTTAAAAAAGATTGGTTGCTTTCAATAGAAAAGACTACTTCTATAAAAAACTTTTTTGTTTCCAAAAAGCAGGATTTAATTGGAGATAGCACCAAGACTTTATATTTTGATACAAAAAGTGAGAAGGTTTCCAAGTCCTCGAGTTCCCTTCTTCAACTCCCCTGAGTTCAAACTTCTTCTCAAGTTCTGTCTAACTCAAATGTAATATTTTGAAGGAGTTGTATGGCCATAAATCAATGAAAACTTCGATTGCATCGCCATATTACGTTGCTTCCTCCATTGTCAGAGATTGCGCCATTTTGGCGATGATATTCGTGGTCCTAAGACGAGTTTTTGTGACTCTCCCAAACTCCGGGACGCGCAATAAAGTAGAGCCCGTAGAACCAGGCGAGCCAACCAATCAGAGGCAGAATCCACAGCTGGAGGGGATTTCGAAAACCACCACCGCTGCGCAGCGACTTCAT